AGATTTTTAACAGTTGAAAAAATTTTTGAAAGTGGTTTCTCATCTTTCCTAGATGTTTCATGGAACAATCACAGAAGAGCTAACCAGTCATGAAGAATGGAGTCACTATAATGAAAACATAGTAGAAAACCAAAAAGATTTTGTTTTTATGAAGTTCAGTGGCCTTCATTTAAAATCTATGGAAAATTTGCAATCTTGTATATCTCTTAGAGTATGTATCTTCTCAAACAATTTCATTACAGATATTCATCCACTTCAAAGTTGTATCAAATTAATCAAACTTGATCTCCATGGAAATCAGGTAACAATAGCTATTTCAGATACTTGCATATAAATGAAATTTAAATATAATAAGCATGTTATCTATCTGTAATATTTCTCTCAAGTCTTTTATCTAAAATATAAACAACATTTAAAAATAAATGAAAAGTATATAAAATGTATATAAATGCAGAACTTTAAATGTAAACAAAAATGTTAAATAAAAACACATAAGACATGAGTTGGTATATTTTATTTTTTAAATATGTAGTCTAGATTAAGAATACTTCTTCAGCTGGGCAGGGTGGCATGTGCCTGTAGTCCCAGCTACTGGGAATCAGAGACAGGAGGATCCCTTGAGCCCAAGAGTTTAAGGCTGGCTGCTGTAAGCCATGATGACACCCCTGCACTCTAGCCCCGATAGCAGGGCTAGACCTTGTCTAAAAAAAATACAAAAACAAAACAACAACAACAACAAAAAACCTTTTGATTCCTTCATTCCTTATTTAAAGAAAGTCTTTTAGAAAAGTTTAAACAGTCAACCTAATGCAAAGGAGTTTTCACTAACAAAATATATATGATTATGCATTTCATTAAACTAATAATGATAACTTGATTCCACATGACCAGTGTATGTTTTCCCCCAGTCATCATTTGGATAATTAGAAATGCTTTTTTCACTTATTAACCACTTGCTATTTGGGAAAGATTGAATTTTAGAAGATGTATAATGTTTTACCATTTTCCATGCTATTTATAGAAAAGTAATAATATTAGAATTTAAAATATTTTTAATAATATTTCAGATAAAGAATCTACCAGATACCAAATTTTGGAGTGGATTTAAGAACCTGAAACTCCTCTATCTTCATGACAATGGATTTTCAAAGTTAAAAAATATATGTGTATTATCTGCCTGTCCAAACCTCATTGCCCTCACTATGTTTGATTGTCCAGTAAGTCTAAAGAAAGGATATAGACATGTTCTTGTTAACAGTATATGGCCTCTCAAAGCACTGGATTACCATGTGATTTCTGATGAAGAAATCATTCAGAACTGGCACCTTCCTGAAAGATTTAAAACATGTAACCACCGACTTTTCTTTAATTTCTGTCCTGCTTTAAGAAAGGTAATTGGCTTCATTAGAATTTCATTTTAAATAAATTTTATAGAAGTAAAACTTTGCCTTATAAGATCTATTTAAGTTATATAAACTCTTTAATATTTTTGTATCATTCATATAAAATATTACCAACCAGCAAATATATTAGTAATAGTTTTATATCTGAAAATTTCTAAAGGTTTGTATGTCTATTGAATGAAAAAATTGAGCATAAAATGATAAAATTGTCAGGAAACAAATTTTTATTTTTTAAATTGAAAGTAGATCTCTAATTTATTCAGGTTTTGGTATATGAATGACTCATTGGGAAATATTTAATTATTTTCTGAGTGCCTTAAAGGACAATTTAGATAGATTATTGTTGGGAGAAGATAAAATATTCAATTCAACCATCATTGTCTTTGGATTTATAAAATATTGGAAGAAGTGTTTGAGACAACTTGATAGAGGTTGAAGAATACTTAAATTATAGGTAAAAATATAAGAAAAACATTCTTTATGATATATGAATGTTAGAACAAATAAATAAGAGTTCAAAAGGGGGGTTAACTTTTAGAACTGCAATTGTTAGAAAAAATTAGGTATAAGAGATAGTAAGTAAAAAAATATTGCAGAACAGTGTTTATAATATGTTCTAAATATATATAAATTCATATACATATATGATAAAAATTTATGTATATATGTGTAGAAAATTTAAGGAAGAATAGAAAATCGTTTTGAACAGTGATTGCATCTAAAAGGGCATACAAACATTAAACAGTGATTATGCATGGGAAGGCTGAAACTTACAAAGTTGGAAGAATTTTATTACTACATACAATTCTTGAAAAATTATGAGTATATTAATGACTTTATAATAGTTTAATAAACTTAGGGTTTTTCTGGTGATAAATTTGAAATAATAGTTTAAATTTTTTTTAAATGAGGCAATATTAAGTCTGATGTCTTAACCTGTGTTCTAAAGTAAGAATTTAAATATTCCAGGAATATTGTGTAGTATGGTGTAATCAAAGGTGGGAACATGCATGACCACTTTAAGGACAATTAAAATACCTGAAGTTCATTTAAGGAAATAATGGAAAATTGGGGGGTAGGTATTGAAAAGGAACTTGGATGGCCTCCTAAGGAGTTTAGACTTTTTAAAAACAATGAAGATTAACTGAAGTTATTTGAGTAGCAAAATTAGAATGGTTCTTTCATAGTAGGTGCTCTGTGAGTAAATGATATTGATAAAGTTTTTAAAAGGCGATCAGTCCAAAATATTGCTAGCAGATTAATGGGGGTTAGAAGACAAATGGGGGCAGGGAGATCAATTACTGTAGATCAGGAATGATGTAATAGTGTTGATATAGGCAGATAACAGTGGCAACGAAGAAAGAAGGTGTAAAGGACAGAAACTTGTTCAGTGAAAGCCATTGTGGCACTTTATATATTTTATTCCATCATTCTTTCATCAAATATGTACTGAGTACCTAATATATGAAAGGGATTATTCTGGATCTTCAACATTCAATGGTAAATAACACTGACAAAATCCTTGCCCTCATTAAGCCCAGTGGAAAGACACAGAAAATATATAAGCTGAAAACAAAAACAAAAAGAAAACAGCCATAGAACATTAGACAGTGTTAGTTGCTAAAGAAAATAAAATCAGGTACTAACACAATCTGAAAGGGGTGGATATTTGGTCTTCATTAGCTAGGGTGGATGGGGAATGCTTTTCTGAAAAAATATTAATATTTTCATCGTTTTCTTTCATGTGGAAAAATATTACTCTCATTTCATAGAAGAAAATGAAGTATAGTGAGGATTAGGAACTTACAAGATAGTGAGTCATAAAGCTGGGATTTCAGCAGACTAATATCAGACAAGATAGTGAGTCACAAAGCTGGGATTTCAGCAGGTCTGTCTTGATTCCACAGTCCTGTAATCAACAATGGCATCACAAATGGCAGACAGTGCAAAGACTTGACTGGAGTTTTTTGGGTTTTTTTTAACTGATTGAATGCAGGTGAGGATATATTCCTCTAATATTTTGAACATGGGTAACTGGGTTAATAACTTATTTAACAGCAATGGCAGCATTTAACAGATTTGGACAGAAAAATGAGTTTGGTCATGTTTATGTGAGGCAGGATATTGATGGAGAGAGATCAGCAGCATATTAGAAATGAATAACTGAAATTCAGAAATAGAGTTGGAGGCTTGAGGTGTAAATCCAATAGTTGTTCCCTTGAGGTCGTAGTTGAAGCCAAGCTTTCTCAGGAAAATATAGGGATTGATGAAGGCTGAGAACTAGGGACAGAGACTTGGGGCACAGTTTCATTTTGTGGGTAGAAAGCAGTGGATACAATGAGGGTAACAGAGAATTGATCCTCGTAGGTAGGAGTAAAAACACGCATAGCTATTATTATCATTTTAGATTAAGGGAAAAATTGATTTAAAAATGAAGAATGTTTTTAAATGGTCAAGGAAAATTAGAACTGAGAAAAAAAGTATATTGAAAGGTTTTAAATTTTAAAAAATTATGGGTACATAATTGTATATATTTATATGGTACACATGGTGTTTTGATATAGGCATACAATGTATAAAGATCAAATCAAAGTAATTGAGGTACCCATCACCTCAAGCATTTATCATTTCTTTGTGTTAGGAACATTGAATTCTGCTCTTTGAGTTATTTTAAAATATACAATAAATTATTGTTAGTAGTAGTCACCCTATTGTGCTGCTAAGTACTAGATCTTATTCATTCTATCAAACTGTATTTTGTACCTATTAATCATTTTTACTTTATCCCCTTCTCCTAGCCTCTGGTAACCATCATTCTACTTTCTATCTCTGTGAGTTCAATTTTTTTTTTTTTAATTTTTAGCTTGCATATATAAGTGAGAACATGTGAAACTTCTCTTTATGTGCATTTACCAAAATGTCTTTGGTTCTATGTTGTTGTAAATGACAGGATTTCATCTTTCCTTTTTGTGGTTGAATAATACTCCGTTGTGTATATGTACCACATATTTTTTAATCTATTCATCCATTGGTGGGCACTTAGATTGATTCTGTATTTTAGCTATTGTGAATAGTTTTGCAGTAAACATGAGGGTGCAGATACCTCTTGAATGTGCTAGTTTCCTTTCTTTTGGATATGTACCCAGCAGTGAGATTACTAGATTATATGCTAGCTCAGTTTCACTATTTTGAGGAACTTCCATACTGTTCTCTGTAGTGGCTATATTAATTTACATTCCTACCAGCAGTGTGTGAGGATTCCTCTTGAAAGACTTTTTGATGGTGAAGAGTTTATCACATCTTTGGAATTTTAATAGCTTGAAGGTGCTGGAAATGAATTATAATGGGTTAATCTGTAATTGCCAAATATAGGACATTTTCTGAGAAAATTTTGGATAGAGGAAAGATAAAGCCTTAACTATAGGAAATAGGGTTGATGGAAGATTTTTGTAAAGTGAGATGGTACTCACTTCAACATATTTTTAAAATGTGGAAAATATATTTTGATTAAAAACAAAATGAGATTGAAAATATCAGAAATGAGGAAATAAATTAGGAAAAACATTGTGAAGAAATTATGAATGGAAGGCAACACAAATGGAGAAAACTTTTATGAGATACAGGTATACACGATGATAACACAATTTTTGTGGGTTGTAGAGCTTTAAAGAAATCTTTTTGAATAATAGTTGTTGAGTTTACCTATAAATTTTGTTCATTACTCCAAAGAAGATGCAGGCTTATATTAACAAAATCTTCTATGTGAATGTTAAAGTGGTTTTATTTATAATAGCCCCAAACTGGAAAATACCCATTCAATGAATGAATGACTAAACAAATTGATACATTCTTACTGTGGAATAGTACTCAACAATAAAAAGGAACAACTTATTGTTATACTTACAATAACTTGGATGAGTCTGTCGGGTCTTAGTTGTCTGTTCTTGGTTCTTGGTGTGCTCTTGGCTGAAGAATGATCAGATACACCAAAGTAAGGCAAACACAAGGTAAAGTTTATTGAGTAAAACAAAGTAAGATACATTAACCATAAACAACCAATGGACCCCTGTTGTAACAGGAGGGACCCAACTATGGTCTGTTGTCCTGTTTTATATTGCCTAGGCTGGGCCCTCCATATGGTTCAAATGTCACCAACATCGCCATTGAACTACTTTGATGGACAGTTGGGAATTGTATAACCTGAGTCTTACTGCACAGGTTACATGCAGATCTCCCATGGCCCTTCCTGAACACCCTTTTGAGGGGTGAACTGCAAGGTAGATTTAAGCTAATGACATGATAATTAGCCTAAGGTTGTTCTAGGTCACCTTTCAGACCTTGTTGTCCCTGTGCTGCGTGGCCCATGGGCTAGGGAATCCTCTGCATTCTTTTGCAGTTGGCTTGCTAAATTCTGATTGGCAGATTGGTAGGGTGTTCCTTCCTCTCCCAGGTGTGGCAATTGCTCAGGGTGCCTACTTTTGTCCCCAGGCAGGCTGGAGGTCCCTCACGGTCTACCTAACAAATCTTTACAGAAATATGCTATTTTTGTAAAATAATTTCAGTAATAGAAAAATTATATTCCCACTGTCTAGCACAGTTAGCCTACTCACCTTTTTATATAACTATTATGTACTGTGTTATGGTTTTATGCACTGTTATAGTTTTATTTACAATGTTTAGTAAAACACAGCCCTCAGGTATCTCAGTGATCTTTAGAAACATTGATTTAAAATTGTACAAAATCATCTGTGCTAGCATGGGGAGTTTCACACAGATTCGCAACATTTTGTGTGACTATTAAAATGAATGCAATATTAAGGCTATTATGTATTTTCAGAAGGATAAAAAGGTAAAAATTATATGGTTTTACTTTATTTGAAATAAACACTTGTGGGATTGATATGTTTTACACCTTTCAAATATGCTGAGAAAATGTGTGCCAAATTAGGAATTTTTTTGAATCTTAGTTTCATAGTTGACATATAATA